ACAGAAGTGGGCCTGTACATGCGAGGAGTGCGGTTAGTGACCATCGATGCAGAACTGGGTTGTGGTCGCATCATTTTTTGCATGACAAGATTAATAACTGAGAAATATCTATGTGGTGGCTGTGATCGGAGAAGCTTGAATTCTCTAAATACTACGACAGCTACCGTCCTTTTTTTTTCTCCTTTGGCATGAGGAAGGAAGGAGATGATGGCTTCCCACAATTCCTTGCAGCAGCAACAATCAAACTGTAATGATCCACAGCAGATGCAACAACATCCACTGTTGCATGATCACATAGCCGAGTTTTTTACTATTCCAATGCAACCTCAGTGTTGCCCTTTGGTTCACTGTGTTGCTTAATGTAGCAGACCTTATAGGTGAACAGGCAAACGGACTGAAAGTGTTGAGGGTGAGGTCGTAGCTGCCAGAATTCCTCAAGGTGTCACCCAGTTTGGCCAGTTTTATCTTTGAAATCAGATATGTCACTTTGATTGCAGTTCAGTTTTCTATATTTTGACTTCAATATAATAAGTTTTTAGCCAGTAATCCTATTTGCTTTGTTACTTCTCTTAAAGGAGATAAATAATAACCAAGCTTTTTTTTATTATCTGAAACCTGTGTCCCCAAACACCTGCACTGACCCTATTTGTGTAAACTCTTTAAATAAAAATGTAAAGCCTGAGGGTTTACTGCATATCTATGCTTCTAGGATACTTCAGTGAGTTCAGAAAGATCCATTTCATTAACTAGTTGCCGTGTATGCAGCAGAAGTTGTGATATACTGACTTGTAGCCTCAGGCGTGGAGCAAACTTCAAAAACATCATGCACCTGTGTTGACAGTGATTTTTCATTAGAATTTCGTCTTAAATAAGCCATGCCTCGCCAACACCACACCCCCTAGTTTGTAACAATGGTTTACTTTAGAAAACTCTCACCGAATGTATTACGCAACTGTTCTCGCAGGCTGTGTTGCTCTTCACATGACTGGTGGGCTGATGATGATGAAGCTTAAAAGCTGTTTAACCTTAATGTTGTCATTCAGTTTCTCCACAACAGTCCTGTCTTCTCTACAGCAGCCACCTCGTGTTCCTAAGCTGATGTCTTGCTGCGGTTTCTTTAAAGGTTTTTTGGTGTAATTATTTGTGGATCGAGGGTGTCACTGTGCACGGATCAACCAAATGAACTGCCTTAATTAGTAACATACAGTTGAATTAAGCCTATCCATTGTTTTTTTTTGTTTTTTTTTTGAGTTAGTTGAATCTAAATAATCTGATTTCTCTGCAACTTTGTCTTAAGGACAGTCAGCTTAAATTTTCCAGATTTTTCCAAAATTGAAGAAACATAAACATCTGACACATAATGCTAAAGGAGAATTAAACCTAATTCTCATACTTTTACTGAGGATAGGACACAGGTTTAAAGAGTCAAAAATAAATTTCAAGTTGATAAAATCCAGAAAAATAGGCGACAATCACCAAACCAGAGAGCTAACAAAGAGAGATTACTTCGAAAAAGTACTTCGCTTCAGCTACAGCTCTTTAGCTGAGTTCTCTGAGACAAAAATCTGATTTGAGATAAAACACAGTTCATCGATTCATATGAGATCAGCAGTCCAAGAATGATTGTGTTGATTCTTCCATTTGTCTGTTTGCATGAAAACTATTTTACTACAGTAAAACAAAACAGGGATGGCGATCTCGTAGTTTACTCCACTACTTCCAGAATATAACATTTCTGAGAACTTGCATAATTTTTTTTATAATATCAGAATGCTGTAGTTGTGTAACAAACAGAACCATCTTTATCACAGCTGTCTGATGTGAATTTACTCCGATCATCTGATAGAAGCTGTCCTCAGTAGCCAGTCACTCTCTTGCTCGCACAAGGAGCACTCTTTTGTTGGGAATAGTCACTCGCGTGTTAAATCCTATGACTCTGATTTGTCTCAGCCAGCCGATGACTATCCACGCCGCGCACATGACGTTCGTTACGATAAACGAATAAGGAGGGACGACCTGAGGACATGTGAACTGTGAATGAGCGAGGTTCTTCTGGACGGGACACTAAACCATTAATTCCAGAGATTACAGGATTTTAAGATAGAAAGAAGATAGAATCGTCACCGTTTCAATCCCTTGAGATTACAATTTAATGTGTTTAAATTTCAGTCGCTGGTTTGTTGTGTAGGGGTTGTTGTGGGTGAGGGGCTGATAGTGCCATGTGTTAAAGATAGATGTGTGGAGATCTTACTGGAGCTTCAGAGGACAGACTAAGAAGATTTCCATCTTAAGGTTTCAACAACTGTCACAGTCAGTCACCTGGAGGTGATCCCTAAGAGACTGATTGAGAGTGTGTGGAGGGGAATCCTTTCAGCTACACACACACACACACCAACACTAACAGGTCAACATTTCCATCATATGTATGAGTTTCACCATGTCAGAAACTCTGACACAACAAACACACTTAGAGCCATGTGGGACACTCACTGGAAAACGAAATGCTTTTCAGAGCGATTATGTAACGCTCACACTTTGGTGCAATCTTTACTCAGCAGCATCTGAGTATAAATAAATGTTGTGTTAGATTGTTGGTCTGACCTCGGTCTCTCTCTGACTGTTTTTTTTTTTTTAAAGCCTGATTACACCAGAGTTGTTTTCATACTCTGGAATGAAAACCAACATCTTGTGTGAGGTCTGCAATAAAAAGCACACCCAAATGCTAAATTTGAAAAAAAAAAAAACACTCCTCTGTGTCTCATACTTGCACAAATGTTATGTTTTCTGCATGTGTTTGGTTTTTGTAGCCAAGCCCGCCGAGACAAATCACACACCGCGGGGATGATCTTGCTCTCTTTGCAGAGCTCGTTGCCTCTAGTGCTGTTCATTCTAATTCTGAAATCCTCTTTGTGAAAATGACGTGGTGCCACTGATAGAAAGCAGGATTAACCCGTGCACAGAGAGCGAGCCGGGCAGAAAGGAGAGCTTCATGGAGCACTCAGCAGGACAGTAGCACTCACTCCATTCAACTTGTATTCACCGCTCGGGGCAATGACTGCTTTATCCCACGTATAAGTAAAGCACGGGGCTGTGCTCTTCCACCCTCTCCATGGCCCTCTGCCTCGGCGACAGAAAATCGGCGAGATTTCAAAGAGACACCAGCCTCTCCACAACGACGCTCTGCTGCTGGTATCATTTCCACGGTGACACCCTCTCAGTGGGAGAATCTCCTAGGTGACGCCCTCTGTTGACACGCCTAGAGGTGGCTGGTGCCTTTTTGTAGGCAGGTGCATCCTGTGCACCGGCAGACGGAGCAGCCAGACACCCAGTTTGTCTGCTTTTTGCTCTCTGCTGCTGGAACACCTGTGCGGCTTCGTAGCCCGTCTGGAGACGGAACAGCAGCACAATTCAGATTCAGAGACAAAATGGAGAATATGCATTTGTTTTGCAAATTGTAACTCAATAGCTTTTGCTGATCTTGGGATATGATGCTCATAGTAATGCTTTTTTCTGCTTTGGCTCAAATGTAACCTGCAGCTGCTGGATATTGTGTCTTGGTTTGTAGATTCAGCTTAATAAGCAAGAAACTGTTGTTGTTTCTGGCTGCACAACAAAACTAAAAGGCCGCTGGATTCAGAGTCTGACCTTGGACAGATAATGGAGGGATTTGGGTATGAGCACTTTGGAGACGGATCGAGACAGAGTCAGCAGCTGGACTATCGAAAACTTGTAGGGGACACTCAGCCCCTGAGTTCATCCCGAGAAGGAGAGCACTACATCCGGCAAATCTCACACGGCCACGGACATGAAACCGCAGCCCAACGGTACAGCGCCACACTCATCCAGGCCGGTCTAGGGCGAGAGAGGTGAGTCACTGGGAAAGTATGCGGGAAATGATATACCTACAGGAGTAAATCAAACAGGAACGTGGTGAAAATACAGAAATGTTGCTACAGAATGCCACATAAAAGCTTGTTGCAGCAAAACTGTCTAAGAGTTTTCCAGAATTTCAAATTTTAAAAAAGTGCAAAAGCAAGAATAAAATGATTTCTTACTTGGGATACATGATGATATCAGCATCAGCCAATAAAGGCTACAACATTTATATAATATTGTCGTTTAAATAGCACTTAACAGGCTAAAAATGATAGTTTTGTGACTTAAATAAATATTGCATGTTTTACAATAAAGCTGAAGTAGTTATTTTGCTCAGTTACTGCGTACATTTTATTTTAGTCTGCACCTGCCATTGGTCCATCATGATAAGAGAAGATACTAATAACATGCTAATTCTGTGACAGGAGAGACTTCATGTTGTTTGCAATTAGATGCAAAAATAGGCATTAGTGTCAGCAATCAGTTAAAATGATTTGGAAAGTATCAGCATATTTGCAAAAAGCCAATTCTGTGCATCCCTGCTGGTCATCAATAGTTACCTTCATTGTAAGAATAAATAAAGAAATGAAGACGTGGGCTCAGCTCTCTGACTGTCGTGTTTTTACAGGCTGGTTACATGTAAATCAACTTCATACTGCCGGCTCAGTTTCGACAGTCACTTACAGGAAATCAATTTGCAAATGCTCCTGAGGTTAAGTCTCATTTTTGGGTAGTTTGAAGGTCATGCAGAGGAAACGTTTGACTTCTGAACAGGTGCTAACAGCAAAAGTTGTCTCATCTTCAGTTGACAGGTGCTATTTTTAACTGGGCCCTTCTCCCCATTGTACGTCCTGACAATTCTGCGATGCACCATCAAAGCAGCAGTGAGACGTACGCTGCGAGGAACATAAACAAGACTGGATCAAGTGCTCAGAATAGCTACAGTGCATAAAAGAACCACTGACCCATATCTGCAGTGACCCACATTTAATTGGACACAACCACAGAGTGGGAAACAGATCCCCAGAGTTACTTGGCAGACACATCTAGCAACCTTTACCTAAGATTAATATAGAACAAGAGAGAACTGTGATTCATATCAGGCTCCAGGAAACACCATGTGGTTCTCTATTGTCTTTAATATCTGAAATATGAATCTGGAATCAATAATGTTGATGTTACAGAAAAAATGAATCAAATATTGGATAGATCTGTAAACAACACCCTGCTGGTTGGAATTAAATAAACATGCTATTATGCCATGTTCGCGGATGCCATACAGCCAGCCACAGCTGGAAGAGACAAATGAATTCAAATGAGTTCAAATACATCTTCTGATGTGTCATTGTGATCACAGCCAACCTAAATGCTCTTCTACACAGCAAACAGCTGAGCTGTTGTGCACAGATTCACAGTTTATAATTGGGTACAAAGCAGTCATGCATGCTGAAGCCGGCAGTTTATTTATTTATTACTAAAAGTCCAAATATAGTTTCCTCAAGAGAATCATTATATTCTTTCTGGCATATGAAGTGGGATGTTACTGGGAGCTCTAAAGGGAGATTCAATTTTGTTACTTAACTGCAATCATATTCGCAGAAGTGACATTACTGCAAGCATAAAAGTGAAATGATCACCTAACTAAATAAAAAAATAAGGCCTAATAGCTGCTCTAATGATGAAAAACACAGTTTAACATAATGAGCCTATCAGGTGCTGTCAATACTTAGTCTGGATTACTGCAAAGATATGTCCGTTTGTATGGATGGAATCAATGTTACATCCAAATAATAATAATAATAATAATAATAATAACAACAATAATAATAATCATATTAATAATAATAGATTGAATGTATTAATGTATGCTACCACTGCAGTGTATGTGGTTCTCTGTGTGAATATTTGGGGTGTTATTGTTCTTTGGGACTTGACTGAGCGTGAGCTTTTTTTTTTTATCTGATTATTTAAAGTGTTGCATCATCAAAACCACCCAAAGGTAAACTGTAAAAACAGAAAGAATCATCTAAATTTCCACTTTCTGAGGGTCCTTAAACTAATAATCTGTGATGTGTGGTTCCATGGGGAAAAGTAACCAAATCTTAGCTTCACGGTTGTGCTGTTTCCATAGAGATGCAGGATTTTATATTTGAGTGAAAAATGAGCCCACAGTGAGCAAAAATGAGACAGGAGCAAAGTACTGAGAGCTTTGTTGAGTATAGGATATAAAAACTTTTTTTTTCTTTTCTTTTAACAAACATTAAAAAAATCTGAAGTCAATCCTTCATAGGCAGACATGCTGAAGGTTATTGTGTCGCCCCACATTACACAATAAATCTTGATGTTATTTACATGTTAGTGATGTGACAGAGAAGTAGAAATGTAGGTAATCAGTGTTGATTTGGTGTTTTTAAAGAGGAAATTACTCCCCTTCCTCTCATTAGCTTCCCACTTTTAAAGGTTGATTCGTAGACATGGAAAACTAATGCAAATAATAGACACTAAAAACAACCACAAAACACACCTACACAAAATGTAAACAAATTTAAAAAACAGACAAGGTTACAAAACCCATTTTTTAAATTACAGTGATGCTTTGCGGGCCTACAGGCGGGGTCATATTAGTTCCTGTGGTGTGTCTAGCAGGATGATAAGCTGTGTGGTTCAGAGGTAGGAGTGTTGACTTCAGGTATGGGGCTTTAACTTGTGATTTAACAGTGAGCCATGAAGCTGTAGACAAGGTGATAATAGATACTGACAGTCGTATATTTATTCGTGACAAAGCAACAGGATTTATTTATTTTTTGTCAGCAGGTATTTATGCCACCAGCGGCCTAATGACAGGGGCAGCGTGCCGACAGAGTGTCAAGTCATGTGACTGTGCATGTGTGTGTGTACTGACTACTATAAAGAGACTCTGTATGTGTAGTTTAGTGGTCTCTTGTTTCCGCAGTATACACATAGACACGCTATATCGAGCTGCGGTTGCTTTCGTGGTGAAGACTTTCTATCAGCTATGTAGAGAATGCGTGTTTGACTGGTGTCGTTCTTTTGTACCTGAGGAACACCGACATGTAGGTTGCAGGTTTGTGCTTTAGTTTGTGCGACTGGAGAATCAATAACAGCTGAACATGTGAAGCATGTAGCTGCTACTGCAGCAGCTTCACCTGCTCTGTGTTGCTTTAACAGTACCACCAATGACCTCATTTAACCCCTCAGCATGTCAAGAAGATTAATATTGTCTGCATTTCCTTCAATGCTAGTTGACGTTGCTGAGCATACAGTCGCTCTGTTGAATAATATCGCTATATGGGGTTTGATGTTCTGCTCTTTCGCCACTTGGAGTCTCTCTTGTAGAAACATAATGCATTGGGAAAGTATTTCAATGAGGTTATTTAACTTATTCATGTACATTCGTTTCATTCGCTGTCTTGAGGCTCTCCTCAGCTTCTCCTTCTCCCCTGGAGTTTGCGCCACTCCGGTCTTTTTGTTTCTGTTTCCAAACACAGCTCTACTCCATCTGACAGATCGAGAAAACAGACACATGAAGAATGAAACACAAATTTTAGCATATTTTACAATGCTAGCATGGTTGTGGCTGGATTGTTTTTGTGTGCCCAATGTCTCTGGTTGTAAATAACCCTAAAGGGAGGGGGAGGTGTCTGTTTGTTGTGTTCTAAGATGCTGCTGCTCTACTGACGTCGAGTGGTTCTGACAGGATGCACTAAAAACCACATTCAGTTTTGGTTTCGTAAATGATAAAAATGACTTTTCACCAATTGTCAGTGTCACAGAAAAATAAAGTATAGATGTGGGTTCAGCTCCCTGTCGAGCTTTCACTGGCTGTGCCTTTAAGAGGGTTCATGTGCCAATTAACTTTGAGTCAGCTTACACATTCACACACACTGCTGTTTGATCGGTTTGCAAATGCCCTTTAGGTTGAATCCTAAACGACACACTTCATTTTTGGGTACTTTGAAGGCCACTTGTGGTTCATGAGCAGGTGTTACCACATCAAAAAAAAAAAAAAGGCTTATCTTAAATTGGCTGGTGCTATTTTTAACGCTGCCCTTCTGCCCCTCGTACGCCGACAATTCCCTGATGCTGCTTGGAGGATAAACAAGACTGAATCAAGTTCTCAGAATAGCTACAGTGCATAAAGGAGCCACTGACCCGGCTCCGCAATGACCCACATTGAACTGGACACAAACAGCGAGTGGGAAACGGATCGTCCTGTGTCACCTTGGCAGACATAACCCTCACCTAGGATTAATATAGAACAAGGGAGGACTGTGAGTCCTATTGGGTGACAGGAAACACTGTGTGGTTCTGTATCGTGGTCAATATATGAAATCTGCAGGAATGTTTGCCCAACTGACTTCTGTGAACGACACCCTTCGGCTGTTTTCAGCTCAGTGTTCTAGACTTCTGGTTGTCTTGAATGCATTTAATTACATATTAAGCACAACAAGTTACGTCCCTCCTTTTTTGGCAGCGCATGTGACCAAACTTTAATTAGTTGTAGAGTCTGGATTCTTTTTCTTGGCCATGGCTTCTAGTCGCTCACAGCAGACAATGGAAAAAAATAAATAAAAAAACCACCACACCCCACATGCAAAACATTTCATTCTGCCATTTCAGAGCCATGAAGCTGTAGAAGAGATGACAGTCTCTACTGACAGACATCTATTTATATGGGGGAAAACAGGCACTTTGTGTCAGCAGCTCATGCCAATGGTTTACGTCGCCGGCTGACAACATGTCAAGTAATGTGAACGTGCTTGTGTGTACTGCACGCTGCGGAGAGACAATCTGTACGGACAGTTTTATGTTATCATGTTTCCAACACTTACTATCTTGTGGCAGCACAACTCGGTTTGCACTGAGAAGTTTCTGACCTTGACCTCCAAACATAGTCTTAAAAGGCTTTCTCATTAGATTTTAATCAAATGAGCTTTAATTTGCATTGTAACTCTTTCTTTCATACATGTTGAATTTGACCTTGTTACCTCAGCAAACTCTTGTAAAAGCAGATCAGGATGCACCATATATGAGGCTTTTTAAGGCTAACTGCATACTTTCAGTATTAATGCAAAAAAAAAAAAGACAGAATCTGATACACGTTAAACTTTCACTTTCCTTTACATAACAACAAGGAAATATTGGATCACAAGTGAGTAGCTGCAACAGAAGTCTTTTCCTTAAGTCAGCATAACCAATCTACAGTCTATTGCAGTATGTGCAGCTTCTTTGCACACTTTAACTGTTATCATGTGAATGAAACGTGGTCACTGCCTGGTGTTCAGTGCACATAATCCAGTTAAGATTACTGACATGTGACCAAAATTTAGAGAGTGCTGCTTAGATTAAATGTGATTTTCCCCAAAATTAAGAGAAATTACAGCATGAAAGTTTTTTTTATTCTGGGACAGACAAGCAGACTGAGAGGAGTAACAGCTATTTATTCTCACTACTAGATCACGTGGCTGATGGCCTATTAATAAAGAGGGATGACTTAAGATGTTAATTGTAGTGAAACTCTCTCTGGAGGGACCTCAAGACTGTATTATAGGTACCTGATATGTGGTGTTGTTCCTCCTCTTTTCAAAGTTGGCTGTTTCACTTCAACACAGATGGCTTTCTTAACTCCTCTCTCAAACCATCTGTCTTCTCTGTCCAGAATATGGACACTGCTGTCCCCAGAGGAGTGTCATTTATACTTAAGATGTAGATTTACTGCTAAGCCTTTTCTTAAAGAGCTGGCTCTTCTGTATTAAGCCATGCAACTGTGGAGCAGTTGTTTAATCTTGACTGCAAATAGATTTGTGCACGCCTCGCTGCTCTGCGTATACAACATTGCTCAGCTTGTGTTTGGGCGTTTTAACCACAGGGTGAACCAGTTTTTGCCTCCAAATATTGTCGTGTCTGAAGCGCACAGGGTTCTTGTGTTTCTCAGACACATTAGCTAAATACAGGATGACAGTGTTCTTTTCTTCCCCATTTGACTTCATGACGTAGAAGCTCTTCTCCGAACATATCATCTCAGTGGACTTTAAATTAAAAGTCCCATTTGGTGAAAATCCATTTTTATTGTGTTTTGTAGTTGCTATAAACTTGAAGGTGTAAAATAAACGTCGTAAAGACATTAAGGCCTTTTACTTCGGTCATTCTTTCAGCCACTTTACAAGCCAGGAAGGCTTGTAAAGCACAATCCAGCTCAACCTGTGATTGACAGAAGTAGAGCATGTTCTTCCTGAAGGGGGCGGGACTAGCAGCAGCTCATTGGTTTTCAGAGTAAAAGCAGAAGTTATGCAGTGATGGGCTGTGTCCGAAATCATCCACTCACTCCCTACTCACTATATAGGGACCCCGATATGAACTATGTAGGGAGCACCTCGGCAAAGTAACATTTGGGACGCTACTCAAGATATTAATTACATCATTCGCTAGCTGCGATTTGTGCAAACACATCAAATTCATAGTTTACTACGTAACTAAGAACCGGGTAAAATAAAATTTCAATAAAAACATAAATGGGAAATTACTTACATCTTTATGAAAAGTGTTCGCGCTCTCGTTCACCTAGTTTGCATTTCTTTTCACACAATGCATGATGGTCCACATTGCTCGGTTAGTGACCATCACTACTTTTCACGGAGCATTGTGGGATATTTTGAGCGCACTACATAGGGTGTAACATTTGTAACTTAACAATCGGACAGCACCGCAAAATGGCGAACACCCTATATAGTGCACTATATAGAGGACAGCCATGGTGAATTAGCCATCGTTGCAGTATTTTGAGTTGGAAAATTTAAAGACATATTGTGGGGATGTGGTTTGCTGAAAAGGGGCCCAATATGACTTTTCAGAGACAGTCACTGCGTCTTCTATATACAGTTTCAGGAACCAAAAAGAGTCAAGTCGCCTTCGACTGAAGCATTTGGGGTTAACCTGACCTGGATGATTGAGGAACAGCATACTTATTTGTCTTTGGCAATGATATAGCTGCTTTGTCACATGTAGCCTCATTCCATTGTGTTAAAAGTCATGCACTTTGCAAAGGATCACCATTCAGCCCTGTTTGCCTGCCAAGCAATGTATCCAGCAAATGACACAAGGAGGATGGATTACAAAGAACACAAGTTAAAACAAACTAAAACAGAAACTAGAACCAAATGAAATAAGAGATGAAACTTTAAAACAATAGTCAAAATAATCATCATCACTTGCACCTGCTGATTGGTTACTGGTTTTAAAGCGGCAAATAAACTAACTCAGATCAACCAGTTTGGCAGCATTACAGTGAAGTAAAACTAGCATGCCTGGTTGCACACTTCGACCCTTTTGCTTTCACTATTGGTGCAGATTGGAGAGCTGCAGGAGGCAGAGGGTTAACCTCGCCTGGAGGGGAGAGGGGATGTGACGCTGCTGCTGCTAGTACATAACACCAACACACACTGTCTGCACTCAGCGACAAGCAATCACTTCTCATTCACTACACTGCCGAACAGTACTTTTTTACATCTTGGAGCCACGACAGACGGGCGTTTTTTCATCGAGTTTCTCCTTTGAGGTAAATTACTGCTGCTAGCTTCGGTCTCGTTTGTTCACATCTGGAAAGTTGCTACCTTTTTGGTCAACGTGGGCATCAGTTCCCCAGAGGTAGCTAGCTAGCGTTACTCTTGAAAACACGTTTGGTAGTTTATGTCGCAAAAGATAGGGGGTAGTTTGAAAAACTAGCTTTACCTGTTTGAGGATGTTAAAGCTTCACGTTGAAGTCTCGGCAGCCTTTCTCGTAGGTGAAGCCAAAAATAGCCCAAGCTGCTAATGCTAAATGCTAAGGGCTGCTCCCACATGTCTGCTAGTACAACGTTATGCGGTCTGCTCATGTCTGCCACAAGTTCAGCTGCATGGTCGTTATTAAGGCTTATGCACAAGTTGTGACAGTTTTGTAGTATCCACAACGCGACGGAGAAGACGGATTTGTTTATGCTAATGTCACTTTTAATGAGCTAACAGCACAATTGTGTCGCGACGTTAGCTTCATCATGCAGTTTCTGACATCTGCAGCCTTATTTTAACAGTTATTTGTGTCAAACCAAGTAGCTCCTAAACGATTACACCCTTGGTATGTTTGTATGTCAGTAAAGTTAAAATGCCAACCATATAACCGGCTGTTTGTGAAGACTTTAGGTGATAAGGCTGCCTCTAAACCTCTGGTTATCTGTCTGATAACGTGAGACCTCATTACTTCAGGCTAATGGTCCCAACGGTCAAACTAGCGAACCCAGTTGTAAACAGACATTAATGTCGTGTTGTATGTGAATTTAATATGTTTATTTAGTCCAACTTTAGACATGTTATTTCTATTTAAATTCATGTAATTTGAAATAAGCAACCCTCACACTTCGCGTCTCTGGCAGTATTAGATAGTAGCACACATAGTCCTATCACCCTGCATGCACTCACATGCGTCATGGCATAAAGCCCGACAAACTGAACGCTACACCAAACCCAGTTCAGAACTCTGCCAAAATACCATTCCTCTGTTCCCAAAGAGGCGGTGTGTAAAACTGAGAAATGTGTTGGATTATTTATGACACACAAGAACCCAGTGTTTAATTCGGCTTGGTTTAAACGCTGGAAACAGTATTTATTGTTTGTAAGATTTCAGTTTTTATTGTTGGTTCAGCTGGTTTCAGACAGTTGGCCAGAAACGTAAGCCAATCCTTAAAAAATGTATCACTGACGTTAAGTGCTGCGTGGTGGTGGTGGTGCTGCTGCTTCCCAGTGATAACTCGGCATGTGCTTCTGCATTGTGAGAGGCAGACAGAGGCGGGGGGCTAACACGGATAACACTAGCATGGATAATGTAACACGGATGACCGGCAGCATGGACGCTGCGATGCCGCATCTCTGTCCGAACAACAAAGACAGGTTAGAAATATGGTATTTGGCTAAGTACGAACGTGCAGCGCAAGTGGCTAATGTTTGCTAGCGGCTGATAATGTAGGTCACCAGGCCAGTGAGCGGTATCGCTGGTGTGGGGACGACATTTCGGGGAATTTAGTCCTTCGAAAAACGTTGAATTGAACAGATTAAACGCCGTGTTATTACTTGGCATCCACCTTTTTTTAAAGAAAATATATACAAAGCGTGTACGACTGTCTGCGGCGGTTCAGTTGGATGTTAGTGGGTCACCCGGCCATGTTTTGCTTCACACGCGGTCGTTTGAGGACTACTGCGCTGTTTACATTTGCTTCGAGTTATTTCATAATTGGCTTGTTTTTAAAGATTGAAAATAATCCTGCTTAGTGTTTTTGAAGCTGAGACAGAAAATTGGCTCCACTGAGAAAAAAATAAATCACGGTAGGGCTCTACATGCGACGTGCTACCCGGTCGTGCATTTTCTTTTCTTTGTGTTTTTCATCACGTATTAAAGAAAAGGCCATTTTTTGCTAAATTTAGACTGCAAGTTTATTACGGATTTATTTGTGGAGGAAGCGGGTGCATCTTGTACCTGCCACGCAGGCGCACTGACCCCAGGCTGGCGGGGGATGTTGATGTTGCCATGGTTATGTCTTCCTGTGAGAAGGTCACCAGAGCTCAGCCTGCAGAGTGGATGTGTAGTGTTTTTTTTTGCACAACATCAACAAAGCTTAGATAAACATCTGCACACTGAGTGTTGTTTTGCGCAGTTGATTTAAGTTGTTCCTCCTTATTATTTTGCAGCATGGCGGATTACCTAATCAGTGGTGGTACCGGCTACGTCCCTGAAGATGGACTCTCAGCTCAGCAGCTTTTCTCTATCGGAGATGGCCTGACATACAAGTAAGCTTCCCTGCATCACACACTTAAAAAAAAAAATCTCTTTAAATTAATTAAATCATTTCAAAGTAAGGTTTCCTGATTTTAAAACCTCACCCATGCGAAGTGGTGGGTGACGTGTACGCACCAGTGCTTTGTAATGGCCAACGCATTTTGAACCAGCAGATCTGACCAACAGTGTGTTGTCTCCGATGGTCATACGGCTGAAGAGCTATGCTCTAAAGGAGATGGGTTGACTTACAAGTGAGTAAAAACAGTTATCTTTAAACTGTTACGAATCCTCTGTCTCTCCAATTAGTGAATTCATAAAGGGGAAGCAAATGATTGTCCTTCCAAAGCAACTTTACTTTGACTGCAACAAACTATTCCAAAGTCTCAATCTGTTGACATGAGCTGAAGTGCATGAAGGTAAATGCAGGGCTTGTTTCAATGCTTAACTCGATCTTGGTCACAGGGATGAAATTTGCTTCCAGTGGACATAACTGCATTATTAACTTCAACTAATCATCGAAGTGCATGACCTGTTCTGTAAATGCAACATGCGTGACAGAACAGCACATGCTCTTTCTCACAAGTACTTTGCTTTGATAAAGGTACTAATTAAGCACTAATGTCTCACCTCTTGCTTTTCTCACTTTCCTCTGCTTAGCATTTTTTGGTGACACATGCTTTACAAATCACCTCATCATGCTTTTTGACTGAAACTATCTTTAATCCATCTGTGCGATCACCCTTTTACTATCATAAGCACAAACAACCAAAGCAAAGCATTGTGTTACTCAAGTCTAGTGGTTGTTGGGCACCGAGAAGCATACCATTTCTTCTTGCATTTCATTTACTCCACTAAAACATTTTTCCTAAATCCTTCACCGTGCTCTTGCCAGCGGTCCTGACAACCACTACAATCAATGCTTAACATGGCCTCTCATCATGCCCTTAAGGACCAGGAGTTAATGCGTTACTATGTGGTTTCAATCAGCCAAAAATCTTTGAATTCTTTGCTCTAACCATGCCACTTCTCATTTGCACAAGCTAATTGAGTAGAAAACATTACGGTGTTTGAGTGTAATCAAGTGCCTCATGTCTGAAGAAAGGTTGAGCGCATGATTGCCTGGACTGACATCATGTGAATTTCAGGAGGGATTATGGGGGGATGGGGCTGGTTTGAGGATCGAAAGCCTGCATCTGTGTTTTAAAAGCCATTTGTTTGAAGCCTTTAACAACTGCGACACAAACAACAGTGCAAGAGTTTCATCATGCATTGTTAGATGTCTTTGAGGCAGATTTCTTTACTCGCACACCTTCAGATTTTTTGACACGAACGTACATTCTGTAGTCGTAAATCTTTTGTTAGGATGTTTTCTCTCAGTCGAGGAAAAAGAGAGTCAAACAAAGAAAACGATACACAGGAAGGCAGAAACAGCTTTGCGAGTGAAACAGCTTCCTGCGTTATTGTGACCTTCAACCAGGTGCAGAAATCATGTTATGAAGTTAACTGAACATGTTGTCTTTATCAAATCTGCCTCCATCTTGCTGTCTGTACTCCCGGCGTGGCCTTGAAAGTGTAGGTGCAGCAGCAGCGCTTCTGTTTGAATGTAGAGAGTCTGTCTCATCTTCAAAACATCTCTGTGATCTCATGCCACTTTCTCACACAAGCCCCAGGCGGTCGGATGTGCATAAACATGAGGTTATTGCTATTCGCACAAGACTGACGACCTCGACTCACCTGCATAATTAAAGCTATACGTCATCATGGAACTCTGGATTTGTGTAGTCTTGTCAGGTGGGGTGGAAAGAGGACACACTGTCCAAATTGCAACAACATCTAACCAACCTTACCCCTTTTTATAGCCTTAAGGGAGCGTTACATTGCAAACTGCTTTCTATAAACTGTGTTTGTCGAGTAAATTGGGGTGTTGCAAGCCAGATTTTGTGATTTGCAGATACATTCCTGTAGCTACTTGTAGTGAAACAAGTCTGTTGGTGTTATTTCTTTGGCGCACAAGCCTGCAGTGACAAACTGATGTGACTCAGATGAGCAGGTGTTACCCGTAGAACTTCACCTTGATGCTTCATTTACAAAACACCTGATTGCGATGCGCTTGATGTTTTCTCTGCATGGGCATTTAGATTCTCTTTCATGCCGGGGCACACGAACCGGCAGGTGAGGACAATTTGCGGCTGCTGGGTTTTTTTTTCTTTACTTTGAAACGCTCCCTCTTAGCACCGTGCATTTGTCTGCATTTAACAGTCAAATGAAAACCATAATCAGGTGCGACCCGAGCCAGTGTTTTCTTTACTATTTGAATCCAACACGTCGAGCTCTGGTTTACTGCTGACCCATAGTGGGTAGGTACAGCCTGTGCGCTGCAGCTGAGGTTTGTGGCTCCTGCTAAATGCTAGCAGATGTTTGTTTGGGCTTTCCGCTCGGCCCCTCGCTTGGTGTTTGTGGGTGTTTTCTCTCTAAAATGAGGGGAAACAAATGTGCAGTATCCCATCCAGTGCATCTATTTCAGACTTTCCTTTCCCACTCCCACACTGAAGCCGAGGAGACGAGGGCGATCTGTCAGCAGATCGGGCCTCTACTTTCCTCGCTCAGACTGGTTATGTCCACCAGCCGTGCTCGCTGTTTACCTGTCTCATTTATTCATGCCTCATAGTTTCCTCCAACATCCCCTCGCAGCATAAAGCTTCACTTATCCCTCCATGTTTCCATCTGTCTCCTGCCTATTTTTAACACCCATCTGCAAAAAACCACAAAACACATACAGAGTCTGGCTGGAAAACAAACACATCATTCCTGTGTCTGGCTCTTGCTTCTCCACTCATCTCTTTTCTACCTCTTATTGTGTTTATACAGGCCAAGAGCTGAAAGAGGTTGACTGTAGCTTTTTTTTTTTTAATCTAAGAACAAGACGCACCCAGCTGCACTTACTGTCAGCCACTGTGCCACTTTGTAATTTTCTGGGAAGCATAAAGAGACACAAAAGAACATTCAACAATGGATTCTAAACTATGATGGTGTCCTTGTTGAAAATGTAACAAAAGGAAGTGAAGTCCACCACCTAAAAGAAACAACTAGTATTTAATTAGGCTTATGATTGCAATCAGACGTTTGTTAATTCTTGACTAATCTCATTTGTTGTGTTATTTTCACCTTCATATCCGTGTTGTGTGCCCACCTTTTTGTCAGTAGCGCTGTCATGTGTTCACTTTTCAGTTCACTCTTGTTTGCTTTGACCCACTCAAAGTTGGGACGTTCTCCAGTCCTTGTTTTCTTTGAGATGCAAGCCATTGTAATTCATGTTGATTTGAACATGAGGAAAACCGTACCTCCTGGAATTTGTGAGGAAGTACGGTGATGCTTTAGACCTCAGTGTTGCTAACTTACAACCATCATCCCCTCACTTTGCATTTTGTTTATGTCTTTCAGTGATTTCCTGATCTTACCCGGCTTCATCGACTTTACCTCAGACGAAGTGGTGAGTACATGTAAAGAGTACAAAAGGGCATTCAAGGTCTTGGAGCGTTTCATAATATTGTCACAACTAAGTGTAACATCTGAGTAGACTTTTTTTTTCTTTTCCAAGCAAGCCAATCACTTCTTCAGTTCCTTCTTACTCCCCTCATGATGACAAATGTAGCGCTGTCAGCAGGCTGTTCTTGGCAGAGGCTTTTCCTAGACCCTATAACAGTGAAGTCTTCTTTATTTTTTCTGTTTCAAACTAACCTCCCGACTCCAGACCTCAGCTCCATTTTTATAATTGCAGCTTTTATAAAAATAGTGTTGTTTTTGCCCATTCGAAACCGTCTGCAGCATTTCTTCTCTCTTGCCGCCCTGCTATTTTTTGCCCGATGTGGTCACCCGCTGGCTGCTACCTCACCCTTGTGTTTACATTTGTGTCTGGTCAGTTGCTCATCCATCTCTCTCAGCAGATGACGGGAGAGTTAATCTCGGGGCTTTAGATGAAATCCTTCTCCGCTGCTTTGTCCATTTCTGAGGGGTTTTAATTTAATTTATCTATAATCTGTCGTCTGTTTCCTCCAGAGTCACAGAGGGCTTGTTTTACTGTGTGAGACATTGGCCTGCCTGCCATGTTGTCATGGACTGGTTGTCTCCACAGAGTCCTGCTCTGCCCTAGTTTTTGGATAGGGAGCCGATTCACGCTTGAATAACACAAACGCTTGCACATTTGGCTTCAGTCACCACTTTGAGTTGTGAGTAGTCCTCAAAGCTGCAATACCTTAAGGTTTGCATGCTTTTCGCGAGGTGTTAGAAACTTGAAGAGGGGCCTCGTACATGTGGTGCTGCCGTGGGACATTCTAGGGGGTCGTGATGTTTTTGACATGCTTTTCTAACTCTCAGCTGAATTTAGCAGGTGAGTGCAGTTGTGCTGTTCAGGTATTTCTTTTGCCACCACCACGAACCCCTGAGAAACAACGCCAGCTGCCTCCATAGTTTATGTCCCTCCCTGATAAAAGCTCAAACAACACAGATTCCATTTGCTGGTTTCCCATGTGTGAGGAATGCCAGAGCGCTGGCTGTTGTGGGAATCGGTGATGAGTAAAAGTAAATGTGGCTGTTAGAGATACTGTAGGGTGGCTCATTTCCATTTTTCCAAACAGTGTCAGGTTTCTGCCCCTGAGAGGAAGGACGCTGTTTTATATGGACCGTGTGTTTGATTTTAATTTAGCAGATGAACTCTGAAACTAAATGTATATACGTTTTTACTCAAAAGAAGCTCTTGTAACACAATCTCATAAAAGTTTGCTGGCACTGATTTAGAAGCATGAACCACATGACGACACTACAGTAGTGTACTTACAGCGCTCCCTGGTTCAGTCTGCCCCCTGGTGGATTATGATCCAACATGTCCCTCTTAATGTCTCATAGGACCTGACATCAGCACTCACCAGGAAGATCACACTGAAAACCCCTCTCATCTCCTCCCCCATGGACACTGTTACAGAGTCAGCAATGGCAATCGCCATGGCGGTAAGAAACTGATAGCATTTCCAGGCAGAGCGTTAATTTTCCTGAATTTTCCTGCTGAATTGTAAAATCTCGTGTCATTCCTTTCCAATTTGCCAGCTGATGGGCGGCATCGGCATTATTCACCACAACTGCACACCAGAATTTCAAGCCAACGAAGTCCGCAAGGTTAAGGTAAACTATGATTTTGTGCAGTTTTTGAAATGTTCTGGGGGTTTTTTGTGTTTTTTTATGTTAAACAGCATTTTGTGGTTGAAATGCTCAGTTAACATATTTAATAGTTGTAGTGATGGTTGTGGTAGTTGGATCGTGACTGTTGTGTTTTTTATTTGTTGTTGTTGTCCTCATCACTCGCTGTACAAAACAGACTAAATTACTAATGTGAACAAACCTAATTTATGTCTTCGATGAGTCATACCGTTGACTTCTCTTGTTTTGTCTCATCTTGTCTCTATTTAGGAGACGGTAATTGTTTGGCTTGTGTGTTGTTTGTTTGTTTTTTGTTTTTGTGTGTGTCGTTTGAATTTATGTTTGTTACTTTTATCGTTGGTTTGTTGTGTGTTGCTGTTCATTTGTTGTGTGTGGAGTTTGGTTTTGTGTTATTCTTGCTGCTTTGCACTTGTGCTGTAATAGTAATAATGATAATATTAATAATGATGTTTGCTTTCTTTTGGTTTCCAGAGGTTTGAGCAGGGATTTATCACAGACCCAGTTGTTATGAGTCCACGCCACACAGTTGGGGATGTGTTTGAGGCCAAAGTAAGACATGGTTTCTCTGGTATTCCTGTCACAGAGACAGGAAAAATGGGCAGCAAACTGGTGGGCATTGTCACCTCCAGAGATATAGACTTCCTTTCTGAGAAAGATCACGGCAAACCTCTGGAAGAGGTGCGTATATTTATGTTTTTAAGAAATCCTACATCTGTATGTTTACAGAATCACTCATGTGACCGTTCCATTGCTGTAATCATGCTCTGATCCTTCCCAGGCCATGACTAAGAGAGAGGAGCTGGTAGTTGCTCCAGCTGGTGTTACACTCAAAGAAGCCAATGATATTCTGCAGCGCAGTAAAAAAGGTGAATTGAAGTGATTGTCTGAAAGTTTTAAAGTTGGATTTTTGTCTCTTTTGCGTAATTGAATAACGTTGCTTTTCATCCCTCTCTGTGACCAGGCAAGCTTCCCATTGTAAATGATAATGATGAGCTGGTGGCCATTATTGCCAGGACGGATTTAAAGAAGAACAGAGACTACCCTCTAGCCTCCAAAGACTCACGCAAACAGCTGCTGTGTGGCGCCGCCATCGGGACCAGGGACGACGATAAATACAGACTGGATTTGCTAGTGCAAGCTGGAGTGGACGTGGTCGTACTGGTGGGTGCTTTTAAGCGCAGATTGCAAATGTGGATTGTAAATACAGTACAAACTTCATACTTACACCACAGGCGTTCCACATAGGGGAGAGGATCTGTTTCAATGTCAGAGCACAGTGCTGCATAAATTTGCATTTTAACACTGATTCCACAGAAATTGCTGTAACTCCTGACCACTTGAAATTAATATCGATGTGTCACATGCAGAGACAAACAGATGTTGCAGCATCTTCACTAAACAATGAGTCTTTTGGTCTCATAAGAAGGGAACAGCTTTTACTTGGGGAAATTATTGATGAGAAACAACTTGTTCTCCATGTGCTTTTTTGTAATGAAGATCACGATGAGTTTTATTTTTATTCTGAAAATGCTGATGTTAAGCTGCGCCCACTTATAAAAAGATTTTCCCGTCGCCCATCACTTTGTAGCTGACAGTTAGTATTGAGTGCACATTCCAGGCTCTGGTTGCCTCGGTAACCAACCATAATTAACCAACCCAAATATTTCAGAGTGACCCCGGCGAGCCCGATAATTCACCCACGTTTAATTTCTTTAGTTCGCACATATGCGCTTTAGTAAATGGATCAGTCTTTTATCAACTCTAAAGTAACTGCTTTGGTGAAGATCAGTCTGAGAAGGGCTGCTGTGTAACAACAGATTTATCTCTGAAACTGTCTCTGTGTGCGACGGAGAAAAGTAAAGTTTCTCATTGGCTGTTAAATCTTGCCTGGTCACGATAGATATCTACCCACACAGCAAACATTTCATTTGCCAGTGATTTTAGAAATGCAGACCAAGACATCATCTTTTCAGTTGTTGTCCGATAGTGAGTACAGTTGTGCAATTTTGGTTTGATGGAGGCTAAAATGATGAGTGTAGATTCTGATGTAGCTGAAGTGGAAGGAACCGAAGCTGTGTATGTTGTTTCCTTGTGGGAATTGTTTGGATAACTTAGCGATGGCGTCAATCAACAGCATCCTTCACACACATTAGTCGCCTCTCTGTCTTGTTTAATGTCATTGTTATTCCACTGTCTCTGACGGCCACATCACTGCTTGTCTCGTTCTGTGTGTTAAGGGGCTTTAGTTAAAGTACTGCCTCTGATTGACATCCTGAAACTAAAGCATTCATGAAGTGTATTTTCTGCTTTACATGTGGATACTCCTTAAACTGTGGCTACACAATGTGTGCAGACATTGTGGAGCAGAATGTGTTGTTGTACTGGCAACACCTCCAGTAAACATACACTGTAGGATTGGGTAAATCGCAGACAAAATAAGCGGGTGAGCTTTTGTTTTGGGATTATTGTGGCTTCAGTGCTGTGAATCTGTCACCATAGTTGTTTATTAAGGGTCAATTAACATCTACAGACTGAAGCAGAGTATGCAAGGCAAGAAGTTACTCAGCAACCAGCAGCTACTAAATATATGCAGACTAAATGCCCTGTTTGATACAAAGATGTCCTTTCCTGTATACTGGTAGTTTAACTGAAGAAAATATAGACACTGAATGAACAAATACACACCTTGCATAGAAAATATAAATAGAAGTCTGACCTATTTTTTTTAACACTTACACGCTCCTCTCTGCCTGGTGTTGCATCGATTAGTCTCGTCTTTTACTCTGTATTGTTCGCTTTTTAAAGACTACTGTACTTTATGGTCAATGTAGTTTATGCGACATTAAAACCTTTAATGTTTTTGCATTTCTAGGACTCTTCACAAGGCAACTCGGTGTATCAGATCAACATGATAAATTATATTAAACAGAAGTATCAAGAATTGCAAGTGGTGGGAGGAAATGGTAAGTTGAAACAGAAAACACTTGAGCGTACACGCATTGCTGTGTCCTCATGAATATGTACGTCAGGTTGGAAATAAATCACCAAAATGTTATCTAAGTGTGCACACATTAACCGACCGTTTTTGTTCTTCCTGCAGTGGTTACAGCAGCCCAGGCCAAGAATCTGATCGATGCCGGCGTGGACGCTCTGAGAGTTGGCATGGGCTGCGGCTCCATCTGCATCACACAGGAAGGTACAGGACTCATCCTTCTTACTCGCAGTGAACACAGAGTACTGCAAATGGAATTTCATTTTAGATAAGTGGTTAATGTATAGCACTAAGTTGTGACCTAATAACGGCAACGAATTTCAATGTAGGAGGAGGAAAAAAATGAGATAAAAGGCATAAATCTTGCTGCTTGCTGCGCCCGTTCTGTGTCTGGTTATGAGCTACAGTGAGAAGAAAAGGCTATCAGTTGCTAGCGGTAACAAATACCCTGAGACCACTCCTAGTTGTCATGGTGATTTGCCAAGGCCTCTGGTCTGTGTTGCTATGGGGACCGGTCTCTCATGTTCAGACTAGGTCACGTTTACCAAAAAGAACAGAAGAGATGTGTTTGCATCAGATCAGGAAGTGTCTCTGTTGGTGAAACGGACAGCTTTTCATTTGGAGTTTGCTGATTTCAATATCGTTTTTCCCACGGCAGTCATGTTAAACACGCTTTTTGCCTTCCAGTGATGGCATGTGGGCGGCCCCAGGGGACCTCCGTGTACAAGGTAGCGGAGTACGCCAGGCGCTTCGGTGTACCAGTCATCGCTGACGGTGGCATTCAGACCGTGGGCCATGTGGTGAAAGCTCTGTCTCTTGGAGCATCGACTGGTGAGATTTTAAGAGATTGTGACGTATAATGTTGGAACACTGTGGGCTCTTATCTAAGGCTTAGTATGTCACACAACTTGTATCTTTAGAGATATCCAGTCTTCATAAGCTGTTCATCACAGCAGGGATGAGGGTGGGTTGGGTAACACAAGAACACTGAGATACATTTCTCCCGTCTCCCACTCCAGTTATGATGGGCTCGTTGCTAGCAGCAACCACTGAGGCTCCTGGAGAGTACTTCTTCTCAGACGGTGTGCGGCTGAAAAAGTATCGTGGCATGGGCTCCCTGGACGCTATGGAGAAAAGCACCAGCAGCCAGAAACGCTATTTTAGGTATGTGGGAGGCCAAGTGCAGATAATTCAGCATTGTAGCTGGATGAATATTAATCGAGCGATTTCTTATCCACAGTGAGGGCGACAAGGTCAAAGTAGCCCAGGGTGTGTCAGGCTCAGTCCAGGACAAAGGCTCCATCCATAAGTTTGTACCGTACCTGATAGCAGGTATCCAACATGGCTGCCAAGACATCGGGGCAAAGAGTCTGTCTGTCCTCCGGTGAGTAGTCTGTCTTGATTCCTGAATATAATATAGAGTGAATGTACATTATATTTACAGTGCTGGTCTTTCTCAGTTCTATGATGTACTCTGGAGAGCTGAAGTTTGAGAAGCGGACCATGTCTGCACAAGTGGAGGGAGGCGTTCATGGACTGCACTCGTAAGTACAGAAACCCACAGAAAAAATGTGTCCACTGCTTTGACTCGTGTGGATACTTGCAGTTACACTTTTGTTGCCTTTGTTGGTTGACTCCAGTGTTACTGTACTCTCTGTTAAGTAGTGACTTCAGCAGGCCTTATGTGTAAATCAAAGTAAGAAGGGACAATATAGCAATGAGTGTTTTAAATTACAACATATGTTTTATTCTTGTGAAATAAATCAAGTATTCATACACTAATTATGACACAATTTTGCATTTTGTGTGCAAAATGTCAAAGATTAACTCCACTGTGACAACATAATGATCTGCAAAAACACTTTATGGCCGTTATTCAAAAACCATAACTCAGGAAGTGAAAGGGGAAATGGTGAGCATATTTCACATTTGGTTGAACACCGGATAGGTGGCACAAGCTTTGGGTGCTCACCAGTTAAATCCCTTCAAAGTCTTCACCACACAGACAAGTGACAGTTTATAAGAAACCCTGAACTCTTGACCCCTTACAGTAAGATGATCCACTGACTTGGTTATACTGTTGGGGACATTTTGCTGGCATGGTTTGGGTTCACTTTGTCCTCATAAAGTCCTTCCAGATATTACGGGCATCACATTGCTGGCTTTATCAGTCCATTAAAGTGCGTCATTCAGACATACCCACCACTGACAGAGAGAACCGCGGTACATACGCAGTATTCATGTGAGATTGGACTGTACGTCAAGTCACATAATTGATAATAATAAACAAATGACTAAATCTAAATTTGTTCTGTAACAGACAGTTTAACTGCAGCTTATGTACCGTGAGTCTGTGAAGCAGCTCACCTGTCTGAATTGAAGAAAGGTACACAGTGTGACTTTCTTTTAGATCCTGACAGATTGTGTCTCCGTGATAACTTACGTCATACATGCTACTCTCTCACTTCAGAGACACTGATATGGATTCTGCTGCTGTTTGATGATGCAGGTATTTAATAAACTCAGAGGAAAGAGTCCTATGAACACCTGGAAGTGACTAAACCTAAGCTCCTGTTAACATTCTGTCAAAACTTGAATTGCATTCCTTATTGGTCTCAGTAGTCTTGACCTGCTATGGTCTGTGTTCATTGCAGTTTTATTTTTATGGACAGTTCAATTTGTAACTGATGTGAAGTTACAGGACAAAGTGAACAAGATTTCAGCAGCAAACTCTGCCTTGGGCGTTTTTTCTGGTACTTAAATGTGGAAAGAAGCCTCGTATATGCTGCTTCATACAAGTCGGCGTATGTCACCTGTGCATTAATATGGCCGCATACAGTTCAGATATTTACTGTGTTGAAATGTGACACGGCCCGACCCAGTGTGACTGCCGTCATGACTTTTACCAAATACGTGACCAGGGTGCTCATTCACACATGTTCATTTGCCAAAAGATTAGCAGAGTACATATCTGAAAGAGGCTTTGAGAGGAAAGGTTCACTGCAAATGAAAACCGAGTTGGTCTGTGTGATCCTCTTTATCCTGTCATGGAACATTTCTATGATGGAAACGGTCTCTTCCAGGATGACAGATCTCCCATCCATAGGGCAGAAGGGGTCACTGAATGGTTTGATGAAAATGATGTGAATCTCGTGCTTTGGCTTTCACAGTCACCAGATCTCAAGTTAATGAAAGAGCTATGAGATTTTGAATTGATGTGTTAGACGGCACTCGAAAGGGAAGACAGTTTTATGCTCACAGGTTTGATTTATGTCAATCTTTTCCTCTTTTCCTCATGATTAGTTATATGTTTGATCAGTTTCAGAGAAACTAAATTCTTATGTTCAGAGTTATTGGTTGAATATAGTAATCTGAGGAGTCTATTATAGAGATCTGAGGTTCTGTCAGGTTTGGAGTTTCAGTCTGACGAGGCTCCTTGGTCAACTTATGGCATGTAAAATAGGCTACAGGTTTCTTAGATGCCTTAGTCTCATCACTTGGAAGAGGTTCTGTCTAAAGAATGTCGGATTTTGAGGGTTACAAGGTACAGAAAACTGTACGATGAGGTTTAAACTTAAAGCCATGACAACTTTTCCACACTAAATGTGAGCATATCTTTGGAATATTGGTGTTCTATCTCTCCTTTAGAAGCTATTCCAGTGGCCAAACACCTTTGATGTGACACTTAAACTTTACTAGCTGGCGGCAGTTCGAGCAGATTTTGGTCTCCAGTCTGTTTTCCCTGCGTGTCTCTTTGTTGCTGCCATGACATCACAGATGGACGCATTAGACCGAACAGCAGTTAGTGAGAAATTGTTGTAGACCAAATGCTGATTTTTTTTGCTTTTGTGTTTCTTTGCCTTCACAGTTTCGAGAAGCGGCTCTACTGAGCACGACAGCGGAGCGCAGAGCAGCGATGCACGTGACATACCCAGTCTAACAGTGACCAAATGTTAAATTGCCACTTCAAAAAAATACGCACCACCCACTACAGCCCCTCTCCGCCTTCCCCCCTGCGTCGTACCCACCGTTGGTCTCTCTCTGTCTCTCTCCGATCCCCAACCGGCCGATTCGGGGAGCAAAGGGGGGCATCGTAGCGAAGTGAGAATCTTCAACGTGACACCTGACTCTCTGAACACCTTGCACTTAAGAAGTGGCGCATCAGGGTTTTTTGGAACGACATACACACCTGTATCTTGAGCATACAGCCCAACCCCACCCAATAACGTGTGTTGATAGTAGCGTGAGTACGAACTGTGTGAGTTAAGGGTAGCGTGTGTCTGAGTGTGTGTGGTGTAGGCAGACAAAGTGAAGGCGTTTACTTGTCCAGTTAATATTAGTGAGGTTGAAGACAGCCATGGTGCAGATCACATCGGCATCCTTTGCTGGCTTTGTTTCGGGATTCACGCTTACCAGCAAGCTCCCTGTAGAAGCCTCACGCATCCCAGTTCTTAAACACACTAGTGCAGAAAATCAAGACCAACACTTGTCTCTCTGTGTGCAGTGTGCCAGTCTATCGCAGCATTTTAAGTCTTCACAGATATACGCTACTTGGAGAGTAGCCGCTTATACTTCAGCGCATATTGTTTACTCTGTGTATTGTGGATTCTGAGGTACGAGATATTGGTCATGGTTGTTATCCTGTCGACTGTGTGTCTTTCAGTGTCGCCTGAAATCAGTACAGACCCACAGTTTGGTTTTTGGCTTTTTTTTTTTGTTTACCTCTGTGAACATTCATTTACCCCTCGAAGACATGCTGAGCCAAATAACCAGTGTCCCATCTCAGTGCAGAGAATTCATAAGTTAAGCATGTAAGGGACCAAAAGCTGAACGTCAGGTATGTTTAAAAATGAAATTCAACTCAAATCTATCAATCAGAAATGGTTACGAAGGAGGAGAATGACAATTTCTTTGCCCATAATTTGAATACTTTTAGATAAAAACAACTTTATATTAAACCTGTATAGTCTCTGGGGGGGCTTTGAATTGAGCATGAAGGGTTTTTGATATGCATGTTTGTTTTTTCACTAAGCCAAACACGGCTGTATTTATATTCGGCTTTAATTGCATACATACTGCCAAGTGTATTTACACTTCCTTTGACACGCTTCTTTTGTAACTTCAAAACCAAAATTGGTGCAACAAGTTGCTCGTTACCTTGTCACTTGTTCCTTCCTGCGCTTTCATGGTGTGGCATAGGTTTCTCTATCATTTTCTTTCTTATATATTTGTTCCTTTTCACCAGAGATATGCCTTGAAACAGGGATGGAAACGGGGCTGCACACGACAGCTCCGCGAAAATGAATTCAAATGCATAATGTTACACACCTTCTCGCCTCCTTTTTCTTACTTTAAAACACTTTCGCACTGTTCAGCTTATGTAGGAGTAGGCTTTTCTAACATTTTCATACTGGATGTTTTGTTTTTTTTTGCCAGATGTTTTTGTTTTGTTTATTTTGTTTTTGTTTTTTTTGTAATAAAATGTCCCAGATTGTATGAGTTGCTTTCTCTAACCTGCTAATGTACTATACCCTGCACAGGGTTCACTTGACTAACAGAGGTCTTGCAACTGGACTGAATTGCAAGAAAATGTACATGAGATATATGAAGATATAAACCTATATTAGATGGAAATGACTGCTGCTTGTTTTCAGTTTCCCACCTAAAGAGGTAATTCAGGTTTTTAAAATGTCTTACTTGTCATATACTGAGTCCTGTTAGTCCATCTAAAAAGCACAACTATAGTCATATGTGAGATATCTGATTTTTTTTTTTTCCTCCAGTGTTGCTCTTTTGTATGATTTCAGCTTCACAACAGTTGCCATAACACTGGTAGCTTCTCTGCAACCAACAACCAAAACAGCACGAAAGCCCTTTTTAGATGGACGTTAAAGACTCAGTATTCAGTCAATTCATAAGGGGATTTTGAGGAATATCACTTAAGAACTTGTTTGCAGTAAAACACTCAACAGAGGAAAGTTGCTTTTGCTGTTCAATATGGTAAAGAAGAATAAATAAAACAAAACTGTGTATGGACTACTGTCTTTTTAAACACACGTCATAATGCCAGATCCTCAAGGAAAAGAAGCCAGATATTACAAAACAAACTTTATTAAACAATGTGTTGAGCAAAGTTATATTTAAACATAAATAAATTAGTAAGCCTGTCATACAAGTTGCCGTCTGGATCATATAGAAGCACGTGATAAATGTAGTGTGCTTTTTTACCAGTAGAGGGCATTGCTGCACCATAACTGCAGGTGAGATGCTTATTGGTATGTAGAGTTCCAACTTTATTTGAATCTCATTCATTTAACATGAGATTTTATGATAATCGGCAGAATCGGAAAGGGTATGACTTCAGTAGTATTTAATAAGTGCTTATTTCAGTCACAGTACTATCTATTGGAATGTTTGAATGCAATAAAAACATTTGTACAAATCAGTTCTTGTTATATCACCACTCAGTAAAATGTTACTATTCTTTTTGACTGTATCAAACTTCACCAGCCTTTATCAAACATGTAAAAATTACAAATTACCTTTTGGCTTTTGACATTCTTGGCACTTAAACCCCCCCTGACATTCAATAGTTACCACATTTAGCTCATCAAACTTCCAAAAACTTTCCTTTGGCAGCTGTTATGGTATCTGCAAAGCTACCATGCACTATCAAATAGTGTAAAAAAAAAAAAAAAACCTTGACAGTCAACCTCCGGTACAATCCAGACACCCTTCTTAAGTCCTCAGTATAACCCTTGTTTGACCAGACTCCTTTATAAATCGATAGTCTCACTGCAGATGCTCAAGGCATCGATTTGTCTGCAGACACTGATGAATTCCTCCTGCACAGACCGGTCTGCCTCAGTTGAGATGTCCAGGTCCAGGCTCTCCTGTGAAGCCGCACCCAACGTTTGGTACTGCTTCTGTGGGTCAGAGGACGCCATGTGGCCTCCTTGCTGGAGAAGCTGCCGGGCTTGCCTCTCTGGGGTCGGGCAGAGGACCAGCGAGGAGCTTTCCATGGAGGCTCGGTAGAGCGAACAGGAGGAAGAGCTGCCCCTCCAGCGTTCAGGCGAGGAACAGCTGGAGGAAGAGCACAGGGAGGGAGATGGCGGATCTCCTTCAACACCGTCATCTTGAGATTGGGTGCAAGGGGGCTGAGAGGCCATTTCCACACAGGAAGAGGTTCGATAAAGGCCAGGGTCAGCTGACAGAGGATCACTGAAGCCGTTGCTGGGAAGTGTCCAGTGGTGGTTAACAGAGAGATCGCTGCAGCGACCAGGCCTAACAGGACTGAAGAGGCTCATGGGAAAGAGGGCCTCGCTGAAAAGCGCCTCATCTATGCTGCGACGCAGGTTGATGGGAGAAGGTGGTCGTAGGTCAGTGGTGGAGTCACTGGTGAACGAGGATCCACCCGAAGGTTCCCTGCCTCCTGCATCCTCTGGTTTCTCTGAACTCTGGAAATCCAAATCTAGGTCCAGGTCTCGGTATGCCAAGGCGCGGTTGCTGTGGTAGAGGAGGTCCAGGCCGTTCAGACTGCTTCCAAGCCTCTCATCCACCAGAGTGTAAAGAGGAAGGCTCTCTGTCTCTCCAAGCCCAACAGTGTCCACGATGGCGAGCTTCTCTTGCTGGCTCAGTGTCCACTGGTAGCTCCCAGGCAGGATGGGTGACTTGGACGCCAACAGTTCAGTCCAGCAGCTTCCAGCAGCTGGAAGGTGATCAGAACAATACACTGGCTGAGCAACCACCAAGGCTAAGGTGAGACAAACCCCGAGCTCACACAGCCTGCAGCTGAACTGGAAAGCCCACCACGGCCAAGGATGGAAGACCTCCTCTCCACCTGCAACACCCATCGCATTGAGCATCGCATATAACTGAAGTCCTGCACATGCTAAAGAAAACAACGCCGAAAGACAAACTGTTACAGCTGCACGGTCCCAGTCCCGGCTCTCAGCAAAGGGGCAGCGGTTATAGCGCTCAGCTGGAGTTGGAGACGTGTTGTTCAGGTGGTAGATGTGCTTTGAATCTGCCCGCACATAGATGTAAAACACAAAATAGGCAGAAGATAGAAATGTTGACAGTGCCACAAAGGCTCCACGAGAGATGAGTGAAAGAAAGAGGCACAGGGGAGGCTTTTGCTTGTAGAATTTCAGCAGTGTCACCGGACCAAATGCAGCACCAAAGTGCAGGACAACCAGGCAGGCCAGGAAGCAGGGTCTCTGGAAGGCTGAGTAGGAGAGCTGCATTCTTGAGCGCATGGAGAGGAGAAGGAAAACCAGACCGAAAGCTGCAGTGAGGCAGGGAAAAGGTGCCTCGTATAGCATCAGAGAGGCCTCTGTGGAGGGCAAGCGGTCCTGGTGGCCATAGGCATCGTAGAGGAGTGAGAAGGATCTGGTACAACCAGCAGCCAGGAGGAACAGGCTGACCAGAGCGAAGTAGCCACAACCAGATGGGCATCGGAGTGGCAGGCAGAGCAGATTGAGCGCTGAAGCTAGCGTCAGCATCGCAAAGACGCATCCGGCGCCGTAAACATGTGCCTCCCAGGCCAGGCCCCAGGCCGCCATGGCGCTGTTCCAGTCCGTGTACAGGGGCACCAACATGGGTGGGGCTGGGACCAGGAAGGGGCTGTCTGATTGGTTCATGGTGGTGGTGTTTTGTGTGGGCTTGATGTACGAGGAGGTTGTGGAGTCCCAGGTGTAGGAGAAGTTGCAGATCCCAGAGTGTTCTTTATTGCAGTCTGGAAGGAAGGTGGCGTCACTGTCTGCAGTGTTGGACATCCAGTCGTCAGTGTACAGAGGAATTTCCCTGGGAAAGCCTGGAAAGAAAGTAGATGCAACTTTGGTTAGATTTACTTTAAAGATGGACAAAGGATAAACAAGATTAATATCTGAATATGCTTGAAAAGAAGAAGAACAAAAATATGCATCAGCTTGGAGATGGTAATAGCTGTAAACATCTACTTTTATATCACTTCAAGGCATGCTAATTGTCTGCTCGAGAGAATACATGGAAGCATTTAATCAATGTTTAAGCTATCTGGGCTGGGAAGCAAATTGGCTCCGATCCAGGATGGTGAAAGAGTGCTGTTCTCTTAATGTGCTAATCCTGAGTAAAAGCTTGTAAGAAGGCAACTTCAAACTGAGCGAGGCCCAAAGAGGAGGTGTGTGTGTGTGTGTGTGTGAGATCAGCCCACTCAGAACCACAAAGCTAGTTTTTCTTGCGTTACGTAAGCAATTACAATCTGGAGTTTCCATGCGAGCGTTGTTAATTATGATTGTGTGAGATGTGTTTTAGCGCTGAAAAGGAAGCGGTTTGGAAATGAAGGAGCAATCACGTATGTATGTGTTTGTGTGAAATTTCCAAGGATGCATGCAAAGCTCATCTACGCCGCACGCATTTATACAGTTCAATTACTGGAGGATGACTTGAATAGGATGTACACAAGTCACTTCACACAGCATAAGGCCTCACAGATGGGCAAAAAAAGATTTTCCTCGCATCCACGTCACTGAGCTTCGCCTCCTTGTTCTTGTTTCATAAAACACAACTGCAGAAAAGAGCTTTGTGAGACCTCTAGTAACAGTGGCAGCTTGAAAACCTTGCCCTCATAAAGAAAATGTGCAACAGAAAAGAGGCTGCATCTCAGTGATTTGCACACACACACTCAGACTCATCAGTCATTTTGCTGCAGGCAGCCTTATCAGAGACGATAAGTCCTCCATAAAGAGCCAGGTGCTATAATGGACCAGGGGACAGGGACAAACGGGCAGGATAAACTGACAGCGCAGTCAATCACACGGCAGACAGGTTTAGTGGAGTGTACACTCGTAAATATAGTTTGCAATCATTTCGATGTCAGCCAACGACTTTTTTATCGATTAAAAATTTGGCTAAGTACTGGTGAAAAAAAAGCACAGCCATAACTTTTGTCTACAGCAGCTAAAAAAAAAACAAACTGTGTTTGAAAGGCATTTAGACGTACCCGGTAAATACATCATGTATGGAGGTGACGTAAGGTGCCAGTTTAAGGACATAAATGTGCAGACATCAGCACCACAAAACCCCAAGTCTTTGCATATAGAATGAAGATGTCTCATTTGTTTCCGAAGTAAAACTAAAAGCGGAATTCGTGTGGTTTAGCGCTTTTGCTTTAAGTCTTTCTCACACGTCTTTTATAGGTTGTATTCTTGCGTTTCCCATCCCACCCAGTCCTGGTCCCCTAATTCGCTCTTTTGTTTATGATTTCCCTTCAACGCCCGCCTTCAAAAAGGGGAAACTCCCATAGGTGGGTTTGTTATTTTTAAACTGGGACAACGCCACTACTCTCTTTGACTGCCCTGAATTTTATAAGTCTCTTCCCATGCCTTATGTTTTCTGCTCTGCTTCTTTTTCCACATGTATAGACCCAATGCATCGCAGCTGCTATTTCTATTAGGTTTAATATGTCCACTTCTGCAGCGTTACAGAGAAACAGAATGGTTTTAGAGCTCTAGTATTATTGTTATGATGCTGAGATGCAAAAAAAAACCCATTTTACTCTGATTCATTTTAATGTGTTTTCTATACTCTGGGTCTATGTGTGGAGATCTTTGGTTGTGTATTCGTGCATCTACATGTGCTCGTACTGTACTGTTCAAGTGCCCCTTGTGAAAGAAGCTGTGCTCTCGTTGGCCTCAGATCCTCCTGAGTGGTTTCACGAGTGCTCCAGAGCCTCTCCGCTGTCTGCCCGTTGTTTGACTTTATCATTATTCCTCTATTTGCCTCCTGACCTCAGAGCTGAATCACAGTCCCAGGTTGTGATGAAAACGTCAAGCCTGAGGATATATGACCCCTCAGCCAGCTGCCCTTGCATCTGTCAGTGTGACGCGGCAGTTTTATTTCACACTGTCCTGAGCTTAATCATTTCCTCAACAGGAGGAAAAACAAGATGGATTTTTTTTTTTTTTCGGAGGCTTTGTGTTTGCGCTGATGCAGTTTTTTAAAAAAAATTAAGGCCTGATGACTGTCAAATAGCAAACTGCTGTTGAGATGGCTCCCTTATGCATCTTTCTCATAATGATCCCTCAGCTTTTTTTTAATTGTGCTATGTTGTTAAGAGCAATATGGCAGGGAAGAGAGTTAGATAGATGTGCCAGACGGTACACTTAAACATGCCACACATGTCTGCAAAGTACATGATGTACAGCCATTAGGCCAGTTAAGCAAACAGACTGAAGAACCTGTTCCACGCTGACATTTAATTTGAACACGCTGTCCTGAGGTGCCTTGAACATCCATGACATTCTGGGCAATTTAATAAATGAGAGAAAATAAGCAAATATTTATAAAAATTAAATTAAAAAATTAAAGAAATTCAACTTTGGTTTTCCTTTTTTGGTGATAGATGCCATGATAACTTTGTCATACTGCGCAGTCGACATTTTTGATTTCCCTCTAATTCTAGCCATTGTTGTGTTGCTTCCATGACTTTATATTGCAGTGAAAAATGAGCTCACGGTGAGTAAAAATGTGACAGGAGCCAAAACACCCAGAATTTGGGGTTAAATTTTATTGATGTTCAAAATAAGAGTCTACAGCTAGACGTGCAACTCTAAGAGGCTGTACTTAGGCACGTTGAGCTAAATGCTAACACCATTTTGTACTTACATGGGCAACATTAGTGTAGTTTATTAGTTTATGATATGGGGACCATGTCCAACACAATCATTGGACCGGAGTTAATTGACATCTGTAGTTTAGCAGGTTATATTTAGCATGGTCACCATATTAGCTTAGCTTAAGCATCTTAGCATGCTAATTAGCACAACACAAATGCATATGTGAGGGTGATGGTAATTTAGCAAATCTGATCATAAATCAAAATACTGGAAAAATCTTTTGTGCCAGAAATCCAACCAACAGTTAAAAGGACATTGAACATAACACCACATGAGAATTGCTTTCCAGGAAGTCATTGTCTGTAACAAATCTGGTAATTATTGGTAATTCATCTTGCAGTGGTTGACATATTTTAGACTGAAAGTGGTGGACTGACCATCTGACAGGTCAATCCCCAGTGCTGTGACCCTAACACGGCTGCAAATCGACAGATAAATCAATGACAACAATAAATATTCCTTCCAGCTCTTCACTGAAAGTGTAACGGAACAACTTGTTAGTTCAAGCTCCACACTGAATCAGTGGAAAATGCATGACGTCCATGTTGCTGATTCTCATGTTAGAAAGTACAAATCAGCTGACTTGTGTTTGTTTTTGTTGAAAGTTGTAACATTGGCAGTTTAAAATTAAAACACTGAGTGTGTCATTGCCCTCATAAACCTGCACTGTATGCATGCCCAGACGATGTCATCTTATCATAACAGACAGTAGCTGCGTGGGAAACGTGGCTCGTGTAAAACAAACACACAGCTGCAGGCGTTTTCAATGTGGGGGCGACTGATAAACTAGGTGGGACCGAGCATCGGTAACTCGTCCGTCCATTTGTTTACTTTCTAGGGCGATGACTTGAATGCCACTGGGTCAGGCTGAGTGGAAAACGTGACGGGCATCGAATTATAGTGCCGTGTTTGGCTGCCCCGCTCGTGTCAATAAATGTCACATCTGAGCTGCGGGGCCAACTGAGCGGCCTGGACGGGGTTTGGTATGTGGCGGCGGTGGCTACAGTGCAGGGATGGATCAGAGCATTACGTTCCACTGCATGCTGCTCGGTCATCTGACACATTCCTGTGGGAACAAGTCTCTCATGCCAGGCACAGCTGACACATCTGCTGGAGGCAGACACTCACTGAAAGCAAAATCCGCGGACACCAACCGAGAGGCCACAACTTAATAAAGAATTACAACATTTAATCTTTTAAAGACTTGGCATGAGTTCAACTTTTTTGAAAAGATGAAAAAGCTTTGCTGCTTGCTAGAAAGACATGTTTAAAAAGGGTAGCAGCTCTGTATCTGGTGCACTAGGTCAAATGCTAACAAATGATGAAAAATGTTGGACAAGAGGATCGAAACTTATGGCACAATAATATGACAAGCAGTATGTCCCAACTGTATGCAACAGTTCATACTTTGTAATGGGGGCTCTAGTCCCATATAGCTGGACCATTCTCTAGTGCTGACACAGTACTGTGCAGAATGGTCTGGCTGCACCTCGTTACCATTCTGCTATGGGGGATAAACAATATGCTGTGTTTATGTGTCTTTAAACCAATCACAATCGTATTGGGCTGAGAGGAAGATGAAGGACAACAGATAATTACTGGACATGGGAATAGTCACAAGCTGCTCGAATACTAACTTGCCTCCTGCACATGCACGCAGCAGTATCTTAAAATGCAGAATTTAACTGAGATGTATTTTAAAAATGTAAGTGCATGAGTGTGGATGTATGCCCACCAATAACATGATACAGATGAATGTCTGTATCTACCTACTTTCATCCCAATTCATCCATATTTTCTCCAACTGTAAAACTGCAAACATGCTGGTATTGATAATATTCAGCACCTTAGTTGACCATATTAGGTGCTAACATTTAATAATAAGTACAAATTGTTGCTGACAAGGACGGGAAAGCTGTTAGTCCTGCAAATGTCATAAACATAAAGAGTTCGGGTCGAGGCTACTTATAGACATTTCATATAATAGATTTAAAATTGTAGAGAGAAATGGGAGTTGTGATTTTGGTGCATATACTGTATGTCCAGCGCTCTCTGTTATATTTTTATATGACTATTGATGGAGAAATGTGGTACGATCGTTCCCTAAATCATTTCATACAACTCTAGGCACTGTTGCTCATGTGTGCTTTCAGTTAAT